AAGCAGCGCATTGTTACATCGATCTGGAGCAGCAGGGAATATCAGGCGACAGTACATGAAATGTTTATCTTCAGAATCTTGCTAAGGTCCATCAGGCAGGTACAGATCATTCACCTGATGTTGAGAGAAACCAAAGATGTTAAAAGATCATAAAACCACTGAATTTAAGCTCGTTATTCATTGACTTTACAACATATTGAGAATCGTGTGGAAAACGCTTTATGTTGTCACTTTGGCAGTGACTCAGATAAACTGAAATCTGAGCATTACATCAACATAACCTTACGATGAGGAAGTACAGGCACTGTTTGATAAATAGATGACCTTGGTTTCTTTACTGATAATTTATTCGATAACAAAATAGTCTCGTTGGCTAACTCAAATGAAAATTCTCAATAAACCTACCTTTCATCTCGCCCTTATTATTGACGATTACTCCTGCGTTGTCCTCGAAATATATGAAAACACCGTCCTTCCTACGGAACGGCTTCCTCTGCCGAATGACCACCGCCTGCATAACTAAAAACAAAAAGTTCGCACTGCCAAAATCAAAATGCAATATCACATGCTCACCCTTTTTTCGAAGTTCAGGTTTGCCTTTCTTCACTGACGCAACGATCATGTCGCCGATGCCGGCCGCCGGCAATCGGTTCAATCGACCCCGAACTCCATAAACGGCAATGACGTACAAATTTTTGGCCCCTAATAACAGTAACACTTAGAGGAAAAAATAACGAGCCTGTCTTTCTGAAAAATGACCACAGCATAGTATTATTTAAAAAGTTATGAATCTGTGAACCAATAAATGATTACCGAGTACAGCCTACAAATATATGAATGACACAGAAAACAAGTAGCTGAACAGAATATAACGTTAACGACCGCCAATATTTAATGATATTCTGGTTTTACTCGATAACGCCAGTTTTTCATAGTCATACGTGATACTGTCGTTTGCATCCAGTTGGAGCACGTTCCCATCCCTGGATTTCTTGTTGTTTCGTCTTGCTTGTTTTATGGCACATTGTGGAGGTATTCAGAAGACCTGAAGAGGCGGGTGACAATCTGCTGTAAAAAGAAC